GCTATGATATCTATGATAACCTAAATGAGACTAATTGTATAAACTGGCTTATTACATATTGGAATAATTTATAGATTGGAATACTCCGAGCACAAGCAGCCAACCAACAGTGGCTCCACTGCCACAAACTGAGGCTTCCCCTCCAGTCATTGACGAAGAGGAGTGGAACCCTCCACCACAAAAAAAAAGAAAAAGCAATTTGACAAAAATGTTTTTAGATATAGACAGAAAGACAAGGGAGTATGCTTCAGAGCGTGATAGGGTATATGAGGAGTTAGAGAGATATCGGTTGAGAGTTAGAGAATTTGAGGTACGAGAAAGAGTAAGACAGCGAGATGAAGAGCTACGGATGCAGGGTCAATGGCTGGAATTTATGAAAGAGGCAATGGAAGCTTTTGTGAGGTTTATGGAGAGAAAGTCAAGTTAAGCTTAATTACTATATTTTTTTTACCAATTACTTAATTATTTTATTTTATTTTACCAATCACTATATTTTTACAACTTTAATAAACAAAAGTAAAATTATGTATGAAGTCTATTAATTTTATCCACTAAAATACTTCTTATAGCACTACCCCTAATTAACCCATCTCCTCTAGTATTCTCTTGGAAAATATGTAGAATCACCTGGAAATAATAAAAAAACCTAGTTAAAATAAATTAAACTTAGTCTGAATATTTGTAAAGGTTATTAATAAAATATTAATAATAATATGAACAAACAATTGGTAGTGGGTGGTAGGACCTCTTGCGAGTCCGCGCGGGTAGGTACCACCGCCCCGCCTATATTTGCTGTGAAGCAGTAATGCGTTTCGGTTTGAAGAGTGGGGCAGCCGTTGTAACTATACTTGAGACCTTAGAACTTATATCTCAAGGTGGGTGGCACATTTACGTTGTAGATGTCTATGGGCTCCAGTAACCACTTAACAGCAGGTGGGCTGTGAGCTCGTCCACCCATCTAAGCAATAAAAAAAATAAAAATAACAATACTACTTTGTAGTCATAAGTTTACGCCAAATCGTGATAATATAAAAATGAATGTTTGTAATAAAATTATATAGTTCACACTTACTTGTTTCTTATTACATCTCTATCAGCTCTGGCATAAGGAAATTTTATGAAAGTATTTAAAATTGCAGGAGTTACAAGAGCATCTGTTACTTCCTTCACACATTTGCTTACAGTCGTTTGGCCCAAATATTTAGCCATTCCCACTAAGCGTTGGTAAGATCCAGTGGCATAAAAAGATAGCGCGCAAAGAACCTGAAATGTTTGAATTTTATGTTACATTT